ATCCATCCACCCATCCACCCATCCACCAACCCAGCCATCCATCCATCCACCCATCCACCCATCCACCAACCCAGCCATCCATCCATCCACCCATCCACCCATCCACCAACCCAGCCATCCATCCATCCACCCATCCACCCATCCACCAACCCAGCCATCCATCCATCCACCCATCCACCCATCCACCAACCCAGCCATCCATCCATCCACCCATCCACCCATCCACCAACCCAGCCATCCATCCATCCACCCATCCACCCATCCACCAACCCAGCCATCCATCCATCCACCCATCCACCCATCCACCAACCCAGCCATCCATCCATCCACCCATCCACCCATCCACCAACCCAGCCATCCATCCATCCACCCATCCACCCATCCACCAACCCAGCCATCCATCCATCCACCCATCCACCCATCCACCAACCCAGCCATCCATCCATCCACCCATCCACCCATCCACCAACCCAGCCATCCATCCATCCACCCATCCACCCATCCACCAACCCAGCCATCCATCCATCCACCCATCCACCCATCCACCAACCCAGCCATCCATCCATCCACCCATCCACCCATCCACCAACCCAGCCATCCATCCATCCACCCATCCACTCATCCAGCCATGCATCCATCCACCCATCCATCCACCCACCCATCCACCCATCCAGCCACGAATCCATCCACCCACCCACCCATCCATCATCCATCCATCCCACAAACATTTATTACAGCAGACAGTAGGAGGTGCTAGATCTGGAAGGGTTCCCCAAGCAGCAAAGAGCCTACCCTTGCAGAGAAAGCTCCCTAAATCCAGCGTGGAGTGGCAACAGCTCACAGAGTGGAGCCAGCTGGGAAGGGCTTTTGATGCTGGCCCTCTATGCCAGGGGCACTCCGCTGAGGCAGAAAATGGAGGGCCTGCAAGTCCAATACCAGGAAGGATAGAAGCATGAAAAAAAATCATAATGAGATGCAAACTTCAAGCCTCTAGGATAAATCAGATCAACTCCCACACTGCAGTCTAATACAGCCATGTGACAGCAGGGGCTGACACTTTAAGAGAAAATGAGGAAGAGACACTTAGGATGGAGACTAGTCCATCCATTAGCTTCATTTTTTCTGCCAACCAAGAGGAGACTGTCATCAGTTAATATTAGCGATGGCCCAGCTGAGGGAGCACCTGCTTTACCGCTGAGCCTTGTTGGAGTCAGGCTGCTGTGGCCAGAGGGAGCTGTCTCGGGGCCTCGATCAGGCAGTGACATGATCAGATTTGTGCTCTGGAAAGGTCACAACGGCTGCAACGCGGAGGATGGATGAAGGGGAAGAGACGTGTGGTTGTTACCAGGCTGTTGGAAAGTACACATGATGAGACGCACATTTTGGGCACCTGGAGTGGCAGCAAATCCCTAGGGTAGGAGTTTGAGTCTGTTTCCTCCCTTTGAGCAACAGCTAGGCACAGTCACCGCGGGTTCTGAGAAAGACACGGAACTGAATTGTCTGGGATTTAAAGCTAACAGTCTGCACCAAACAAAACGGATGCCTCTTGCCTGTTGCTGCGGACAGCACCAAAGATGAAGGCAGAACTGGGGGCTTTCTGGAGTTGGAAACCCTCAAGGTTCTGATGAGCTGAAGATTTAGGTGGACAGAACACAAAGCTGCCTTTTCCTGAATCTGCCTGTCCTACCAGACCGTGTGAATGAGAGATTTCTTAGGTTTAGGGATGTTTGCTGTTCATCTAGGTAAAAGAATGGTCACCTGCCTTTCTAGAGACACCAGAAGGTCAAAATCCAGTGTGTCTCTGTGTGGGACACATCTGGATTTCCAAACCACTAAACAAGAATCTCTAACATGTGCTTGGAGAGTGCTCAGTTCCCACAAACATGCCTTCCTCTTTGGGGTTTGTGAAGCCTTCACCAACAGCAGAGCCCAACCTTGTGCTTTCTGACAGCAGGTCTGCTTCAGAAAGAGGTTCCAGACCCACCCTCTTATCCTTCACATCATCACTCCCCAAAGTGCCAAGCTGGGGTTGTGGGCCTTCTCAGCCCTATCTTATTTAAACTTCTTCCCTAAAGGCTGTGAGAGTCTCACAGTGCTAAGCCATTTTGTCAAACCACTAGCCTGCTCTCACTTGAGAACCAACCTCTGCATACACTCTGGCTTCACACACCAAATCCATGTTTACAGTCCCCTTCTGCACTGATTAGGACGACAAGCAGACAGTGGAATACTTGTTCCCAAAAGGAACTTCTTGGATCTACTGGGAAAACATTAGAGAGAGCACATGAAGCCCAAGAAACAGGACACTGAGGCTCTGTAAGCTTGGGGAGTAGTGCAGAATTCTATCCCAGGCCAAGAATGAGTCACAATGAAAGCTTTTAAAATATAAAACCATCAACCCGGATTTCAGTTCCAAAGAAACACATACTTGGCCATGAGGGAATGCTTAAAAAAAATTCTTAAGCCACTTGACAGGAAAAGAAAACAGCCAAGGAACACTGGAAAATAATGATTTACCCCTTCTGCAATGTGGGTTAGGGTGTACAGGGACATGATCACAGACAGCCTGCGGGCTCTCTCCTAGGCTGCTGCTTCTCACCTACCACTACCACTCGTTCATGCCCCAGCCCTAGGCCTCCATGCTGCCTTCAGGCCCCTCTGCTCAGCTGGGCTCCTGGATTCTTCATCTCTCTGCTCCTGGGCTCTGGAGTTGCTTGGGGTGTCTGTTTTAAGTATAAGAGGATTCTTGTTCTATTATTTATGCGTGCAAACACTGTTCATTTATCTCAAAGAGATGCAAGCTTCGTTTTCCTAAATGTAAGGAGCCTGTCCTTAAATAAATATTTAAAACTCACCAAGAAGGGTGGCCATCATCGGCTGAAACACGCCAGGAATTACTCTGTTAAGGTTCCTAAATGGAGAAGAGGAAGGAATAACCATCCTATATAATATTTGTTCAGGATCTGATAGTTTACAAAGTGGTTTCGCTTATTTTATTTGATCTTCACAATAACCCCAGAGAGCTAGACAGGGCACGGATTGCAAAGATTATGGAAACCATACATACGTATATTTTAAAAACAGGGCTCTAAAGGCTTTAGCGACGCTGGATGGAGGTCAGAGCATTTGGGAACTAAATCTCCGGTCTCTAATATTCATGCACATATTTAAAAGCCATTTATCCAGAGCTGTTATAAAGCCAGGTGGGATGGCAGTGGGAACAGGGATGACTAAAACACAGGCGTCCCGCGTAGGAGGAAGATCAGGTTCTAGCCAGAAGTAAACAAGCCCTTGCTCTGCAAGGGGGATGGATGTATGCTCCGGAGAATGGAGGTGAACAGGCCCACGGCACTAATCCGATGTCCCTGCCAAACACGGGCTCTGCTCTCCTGTTGTTTACAAACGCCAGAGCCCCGGAAGGGGGGGGGGGGCTTGGCCACGTGACTGGGGTCAGCTCCACTGCTGGGGTCTGCGGCGGGTTGCAGCCCAACGCTCCCTCTTGGAATACATCTTCCCGGGGTGCACACAAGGCGCCGTGCTCTTCGCTTCATGAGCTCAGCGGCGGCCTCTGGCTTTGCAGCGGCGTCTTCCCAACGCTACTGCCTCCAGCGGGGTCGGGGCTCCCGAGTATCCTCCGAGGAGGGTCCTCTCGCCGGAGGCTGAGCGCCGTGGTCCGCACCCGCTGGGCTGCCGGTCCTCGCAGTCCTCGCCATGCGCGCACACGCCTCGATTCTTCCACGCATTGTGTTCAGCGCCTCCAAGAGCTGTTTCACACCCATGCCTAGTCCCACACCAACGCGTAACACGCTCCCTTAGAGCAAAGGTGTCCGGCCGACCCTGCGGGGACCCGGAGCGCGGGGCACCCTCGGCTCCACCAGCGCAGACCCCAGGGCTGAGCCGGGGCCGCCGGCGACCTGTGGTGTCCCCAGGCTGGCCGTGTGCAGACCCCAGGGCTGAGCCGGGGCTTCCGGTGCCAGGCTGGCCGTGTACAGACCCCAGTGCCGAGCTGGGACTACCGACGATGCGCCCGGCGAGCCCACCCGGCGCACCGCGTCCCTGCAGCCGGACCTGCCGGTGACACCGGCCTGGCTGCGTCTTCCTGCGGGTCACCGCGCTCGGGCGCCGGCATCTGCAGCATGGGGTACCCCCCGAGTCCTCCCCAAATGCCCCCCAATCAGGGTCGGGTGCGCAGCGTGCTGGGGCGCGCGTTCCCAGAACCCGGGAGGCGACTCAGAACCCCGGCTCAGCCCAGCCCCTCGACCGAGTTCTTTTCGGGGATGAGAGTGGTGTTAAGGTAGGCGGGGGTCTCAAAGTTTGCAGGGAACTTTGCCACTTGACATGCACAACCCTGCAGTGCCCCCTACAGAACACGGCTGCGCGAGGGTGGGCGTCCAAACGCCCCCCACACCAGCCCTCCCTCGGACCCAGGGTTTGCACGCGGGCTGCACGCGGCGCGGCCTGCAAGGCCCAGAGTACAAGCACGAGTCTTTGATTTTTTTGGTTCCTTTTTTCTCTTGGTTGTTTTTCGGATACATTCTTTTATTTTTTTATTTTTTTTTCACAGCTTGAAAAAAATAGAAAGGCGCGCCATCTCAGCAGCGCCAGCCGCCTGCAGTGGCGCGTGCTTGGCCTGCAGAGGCACTCGTCTCCCGCTTTTTCTCCCGCCCCCGCGTAGGACTCGGCTCTGCAAGAGCCCCATTCTGCCTGCAGAGTTGCTGAGTCCTGATTCACACTTGCCAGAGCTTCAGGCGCGGGTTTTCGGGCCCAGGGCCACACCTCCGGGGTTTTTTGGGGCCAGAACACGCTCTACAGGGCCTACAGAGCCTCAGGAAAGAGGAAAACCGGGCATCCCGGGAAAATACCCCGGAGAGGGCGGAGCGCTCCCACCCCCGGGGTAGGGGGAAGGGGAGCTCCCGCGCCCGGAACGTTACAGCAAAGCTCCTGAGCGTCGCAGGGGGGCACCCGCGAGGGACGGACAGGAAGAGGGCCAGGGGGAACGCCAGAACCCGGGACCACAACGCGGAAACGGCCCTGGGGCAGGGTTGCAGTCAGATCCGGGGATGGAGGGAGCCGGAGAAGAGGAGTGAGGAGGCCGGGGAGGCAGGCCGTGCGGTCCTCGTGGAGGCTGGCAGCCTGCTGGCCGTGGAGGACCGGGTCACTCAGGAAAGGAAGGGGTCAGGGGCTCGGGCCGGGCCCCCACACGCTCAGACTCGACGCAGGGAGGGAGCTGGAGGCGCCTGGGCGCGCAGGGCCCGGGCCTGCTCGGGCTGCGAGCAGGTGGCTGCCAGAGCAGGCCTCTGTTCAGGAGCGTGAGCCCCATCTTGGCGTGAGAACCACATGCCAGACACCACGAGTCCAGTTAGGGTTAGGAAACCAGGACCTTTGTAGGGTTCAGGCATCGAGGGGGCAGGGGGCTTCAAGCTCGCCCAGACCCCAGCCCGGATTGGCGAGTTAGACGCTTGTAGATCCAAGGTTGGATTGGGGTGGGGTCTCCAGGACGTGGGCTTCCAACGCAAGGATTGGGGGGATTCAAGTGCTTGGAGATCGTTGCCTGGACTTGGGTAGGGGGAGTCAGACAATTGGAAAGCCTAGGCGGTTATTTGGGGAGGGGTCTTTGCGCTTTGGCGGAGCGCAAAGCTGCACCTTTCTGGCCCCAGGCCCAAGGCCTTGTCTAGAGAGGCTTCTATACAAGGGAGGACCGGCTAGGCCAGACCAAGAGAAAGAAAAGTGAATACATCAGGACTGAGGGGGGTGGGGGACCCGGAGAGGGGGGTCACAAAGGTGAGACATGGCCACCAGGCGTTTAACCGACGCTTTCTTGTTGTTGCGGAATAATTCCATCCAAAACCGGCAGCTGTTAGCCGAGCAAGTGAGTAGCCATGCCACCTCCAGCCCTCTGCATTCACGTAGCCTTGCTGCGGTGAGTCTCCTGGCAGCCTCTCCGACACACGCGCCGTGTGCACTGGCTCTGCCTGTCTGTCTGTCTCTGTCTGTCTCTCTGTCTAACAAAAGAAGAACCAAGACAACGACCACTAGGAGTTGAGACTGAAGTGTGGAAGGTTCTCGAAGCCAGGGTCAGGGGGCACCTACAGTCCTAGAAGGGGAGAGCTGCACCAGGCCCTATTGTGCCTCTACTTTTCCCCCCTCACTTCCGTGGGCCTCCCAGTCTTCCTCCCCCCCGCCCTGCGTCGTCACAGCACGACGGGCAGCTTCCACTGACATATGGTTTCACACGAGGACTCGGAATCTGGGCCTTTCTGAAACCTCCTTTTTGTTTGGCTTGGTGGTTTCACAGCTCTCTTCCCCCGCACCCCCTCCCAGCCGTGGCCTCGCTTTGGTACTGCCGGCCAGGTGGTTGGTTAGCAGACCCGAAGCCCTGCAAGGCGCACTGCTCCCTCCCCAGCCGGTCCACCCGCCCTCCCACGGAGGAAGGAGTCGTGTCGTGATGTGTGTGCTCACTTTGTTTTCCCACCATTTTTCTAACGGCCTCAGCCCTAGGTGAAGCCGTGTACCCTACAAATAATTGCCTCACTGTTTTTCCCGGGGGCTCATCTGAGACCGAAGGTGCTAGGCGCCTCGTTTTCCATTTCCCACACAGGAAATTAAGCTTTCTCCTCCATTCGAACTTTTTAAAAAAACATGATACGTATGTGAAAATTAACCCTCCAAAATAGCACATGGTTTTTGATTTTATTGACCGGAACTTCGCTTCGTCTAGCAGTGGAGGATTTTTTTTTTTTTTTAAAGCAATGTTCTGGAAAGATGACTGTGCTTGGTTTGTTTTTGATGGAAGCTAACTCTCCTTTTTCTGAGCCTCAGTTTACAACCCTGATAGGGGGCGGGTCTGAATGACCCAATCAAGACCGATATTGTTGGCTTTGTGGTATCTTTAATTGAAAAGTGAAGGTTTGAATGGAAGTGGCACGGAGCTCGGGGGCGATAAACAGTAACCCCAAGGCCTCTTTCTCGGGATTGTGCTTCGGGTTCAGGGTGTGAAACCCCACACTTCTTTCATCTTTTAGACGCTGCAATGCCTTTTAATTTTTTCTTTTATCATTTATTGAAATGCTAATGAAAAATTATGTTGTGTGTAGTGATTGTCAACGTGTTTCTAAAACAGTCTTCCTTTTTTAAGTCACCGTGGAAAATTATCTTTGACCATATTACTCACAGAAAAAACGATTTTTAAGCCGTGTGAGCAGTTTTACGGATAAAAGGATGTAAACTTTGGTCAAAAAGCATAGAAAACTAGCAGGGGGTGTGTATGGCCTTTTATTTATATAAGAATTTCAAGGGTTTTTACGTTTATAAACTGAAATAAATAGTATTACATAGAAGTAAGTAGAAAGATGTCTCTCACGGAAACGGGTTGATTCCGGCACGGATTTTGAAAAGAGTATCCTGAAATAAACCCAGAAATAGCGCGCGGAGACTGGATAATGAAATCTGAGGGGTCTTTAGATATGTTAAGTAAGAGCTGCCTGCTTTTTAAATGACTTTCTTTTCTCTCTCTCTTTTTTTAATGCTACCTCACGGGGGAAGGGGGGGAATAAAACAACTAAACCCACGCTAATGCTTCTAGGGTCTCAGTTTTAATTGAAAAACGTGCTGTTTATTTTTTTAATTTTAATTCTGCGAACTTCGAAGCACCCTAAACCTTTGAATAATGTGAGAAAAAAATTTTAACCAAGAATCAGGAGAGTAAAAACACGATGTCTCGGACCTCTCGGACCGGCAGCTTTTCAAAAACACGTCGCTGAGTCCAGGCACTTTAAAAATGCTTTTTCTAAGTTAGACAGTTTAAATATATTTCTATATGTAAATATATATGCTAAATAAAATAATTAAAAATCGATAGTTAAAAAATACAGTTTGGTAAAGCAGATATCAGGAAATATCCGGATATATTTAGCAAATTCGGGCAGATTTTTGAAAGTAGATTTCTAAATTCAACCAAAATTCATATTTAAGTCAAGAACATGAAAAATATTTTCCTATATCATACTATTGAAAATATTGAATGCTTTTATTAACCTGAGCATTGGAAATCTCTTTTAGATCAGTAAAAGGAATCAGATGAATGAGAGTACCTTTGTACTGAGCTCTGACTCCCTAAAAACCAGGCCTTTGCAGTCAAACAGAAATAGTTTGCCCAAGTTAGAATTTTAAAAAAGGGACACATTTATACATTTTAATTATTATAACATATACATTAAAAACACTAGATGCTATAAATTTCTTACCATGTTTAGGGGCGAAGTGTTATACTTTCAATTTGCTTGTGAGTTTTTTCACAAATTATTTCTTGTACAAAATAATCAAGTATGTCAAGATATTAACAGTGGAGATGCAATTTTTTCCCCAACTTTTCTGGAAGCTAGAAAATGCATTATAAACATTTTGAAGAAAAAGACACATGCTTAATACAATTTTTAAAAACTACAGAATTGCTCATACAGTGCTTGTAGCTCAGAAAAATTTGAAAACTGCATTTTTTACTTCTAAATTTCACAGTGATGTAGTAAAATCAAAGCTACATCAGTCAGCTTGGAATATGGACCAGATATGAGGTGATATTAAATTAGCCAGCTAATTATAATTTAAATTTGTAGATTTTATTAGAGATACCGATGAAATGTTTAATATTGAAATGTTACTTATTTTAAGCACTCAAGGCCCTCAAAAACAGAAGAAGCAAAAAGCAAAACATTATTATTGTTAATTTTAGTTGATGCCTGTGCGAGGGGGCTTTTTACATTCTTTTCAGTAAATCTTCCAGTTTGAAAAATTATAAAATCTTGGGAAGTATATCATTGTCTTAGAGAACCAAGACAGAAAGAGACAATTTATAGATACATGTCTGAACTTAGACAGTTAAAAAGGAAATAACCAAGCCTGAGAATTTAATTTTAAAAAATCATGACCTGAAGTTTAAATTTCTTATTAGAAGGGGAAAACTGTAGAGATTGATTGTGTGTGTGTGTGTAATTGTTATCTCATGTGTCATTAAATGTCTAAAATAATAGATTGTCTTTAAAAATGGAATACTGAGTTTTCACTTCCTTCTTTGAGGAAAAAGCTATGGAGTGAACCACAAAGTGGCATGTGGGTGTGTACCTCACACCTCAAAGCAAAGCATGTTGAAAGCCTTGCCGTTCAAGAAAATCTAAGCCCATATTTTTTAATAGTATTTGAGGAAAACAAGTAGTTCACTGGTGGGAGTTACTGTAGGCAGGGTAGTGTAAGCACACGGGTTTGCAGCAAGGCACAGGTAGATGTGTCGCAAATACAGAGGGATTTAGGGAGAAGTTGAAAACCATGCAAACAGAATGCCAAGGCCAGAAGAGACCTGCAGGCCCTTTGCCCACTGTCGGGCTTTGCTTTTGTGACAACCCCTCACCCTTGCTAGGCACTTTCCTGTCATGGGAGGAGGAGAGTCCAGCAGCTGCCACCCTCACCTTACTTCCAATGCTTTTTCTTCATTGATCCCGGTCACTTTTCTGCCTTCCACCCTGTGGTCCTGGTTCTAGTCCTGTCCCCTGACATGTGCAGCACAGGACGCTCATGTTTCCAGCACGTGGATCCCACAACCTTCTTGTTCCCTGGAGTGGTTTTTTTTGTAGCACAGCAGTCCCGGCTCAGACGCATGGCTGTTTCTAGGAGCGATAGCTGGTTTTTCTGTCTTCTTTTTAGAGTTCAGCACCCAAAACCATACAAAATTCCACCCATTTTTGGTTTTGACTGTATTCATATTAGTAAAATTAATTGTTGAAAACAGACTGGGGTTTGATTTTAGTGTTCAAGCCAAAGGCACTTGTTGGCCATTTTCAGGAACCCGGCTTTGCGCTTAGTTTTTGGTATCCATCACAGTGTCCCTCAGGGAAGCATGATAAAGGAAAGAGGTGGATATAAGTCTGGGAATCTGGTCTGAGCCAGTTCTGCTGTGGGTATAATCTTTTTGGACATCTTTTGTGTCATGGCTAAATTGAGGATTTTGAGTTAGATGATCTCTAGTGGCCCCATCAATTCAGCAGTGTTTTCTCTCGTTCTGTTTTAATACTTGTTTCTCTTGACCAAAGCACAGAGCCTTAGCTTTAAATTGAAAAGTAGAAATCCATAGTCAACAACAGTGTTGTGGCTGTCAGCCCAAGGTTATTGGGAAAAAATACTTAGATGTTAGCCCCATGCTGTACAAAAGTAACTTTGACATCCTGTCTGCCACGTGTAGGTTTTTCAGACAGTTGGCCTAAGAAAGCTGCAATGGGTTTATGAAGTTAAACCATACGTTTTAAAAAATATATCAAATCTTAATGAATGAAAGGCAGAAGTTGCTGCTCTGACTGAGGTCCTGTGTGGATCCACTAGTGTTCGCTGCCTAATCTGTACTCTGCTTTAAAATATTGTGTAATCCATAAATGGAAGCTTGATGTGATTGGCACTAGATTAGTTTGAAGCTAACACATTATTTTTAATAAAACGTGTGCTTTGGAGGAAAAAAGAAAACCTAAGGATTCACTATAGTTCTAAGAAACCTGAGGTCCTCACTTGCTCTCGACTCCAGTAGTAGCAAAGATTTATTGAGCGCTTACTGTGTGCCTGGCACAGCCGCGTTTTCTCTGAGTAACCTCGTAGTGTTCTGTGTGGAGTAGCTGCTAGTGGTTCAGATTAGCAGAGTGAGGGCAGGGGAGCTGGAACTTGTGCAAGTTACCCACCTCCCAGATTCCACCTGGGCAGCACTGGTGCCGCGGGCTCCCCAGTGCTGTGGGAGGGCTTGATTGTTTAATGACATTTTTCTCTTGCGGTAGGCTGGCATCATTTTATTTCTCTTTGCAGCCTTCCTCAGTCGGTTCTAACTTGCTCATCGAAGGGTCTGTTTTAGTGCAGGCTGAGTCTGCTGGAAAATCATTTCTCTGTCTTTAGGATCCAAGTCTGAAATCATTGTATATTTCCCTTTAGATCTGTTTGCTTTCACGATTGCATTTGAGCAGGGAGGCTGACGAGAATAGGGTACTTTGTTGGATAAAAGTGAAGCAAACTTCTATTTTGGCAGCAATGGAGATGAGTAAATATCACCATAGCATAGGTCTGTATTTCTCACTCAACTCTGCTCAACTTTTCCAGACTTCCTGAGTAAACACAGATGGGTTTCCACTTAGTTTTCAGTTTTATGTAGAAAGTCCTTAAGACTATAAATCCCAAATGCTACTTGAAGTTTTCAGTGTTTGTTTGAGTGGATGCCATGGGCAGGTCAGAAACCTCGGTTTAGACCTTCTAAAGGTTTAGAAGGTGGTGCTGTGGAGGGTGGTGTTTTCATTGGGTTGTGTTTGGGTCTTTCCCGATGGTGATTCTTAATGTTTTAATTCAGACTTGACTACATTTCCTGGTAATTTCGTGGCAGCAGCAGTTTTGAAAGCTTGTTTGTAATGGGGAATGGTCTTTGAAAAGTGCCATCTGAATTGCACTCCCGATGTGCTGGTGCTGGGGTGGCACAATAGATAGAGGGGCAGGAGGCCTAGCTGCTCCATCCCAACCCCATAGGCCTGGCCTTGTACATCCCGGAGGCCCGCCTCTGCCCCTGGAGTGTCAAGTTTGTAATTTTTTTTCCCTATCAACCCCTAAGCATAGAAATCACAGACGGACGGATGCACAGCTTCTTCCCGCCGCTGGAGCCTCGAAGGGACGAGGCTACAGCCTCCCGGGCACTCGGAGCTGCCAGGCCTTTGAAAAAGTGCACTTTGTTCGCCTTTTAACGCAAAAGGCGGTAAGATGAGCTTTGCGCTGGGCAAGGTGTCAGGACGCTGAGCAAGGTGTCAGGACTACGAATCCCTCCTTCCCAGACAGCTGGGCCTGCAGCACCACAGCACGCATGCGCCTTACTGCAGGAGGAGGCCGGGCTTCAGCCAAGCTTCCACCCAGCTTTGCGCAGGATTGTCTGATAACTCTTTGTTTTTTGCTAGTATTGTGTGATAATATTTTGGCCCCAATAAATATTTTCATTTGCACCACTAATTTTTAAATAAGAAATTTAATGTTATTTTTTAAATTTACTGCTAAACACGGGAAAATCAACACAGTTAATTATTGAAATTCACCACTAGTTATTTCCACGATCAATATTGTAAAAAGGGGGGGGGGTGCGCTAGTTGTTTAGATTATCTGTCATTAGTAACTGTCTCTTCAGAAGGTAGAGTTCCACGTTGATCTAAAAAAGAATCTTTCATTTTAAACTGAAATTTAACCCTCAGTTCCCACTCTGCTCTAAAGACGTCTGCTTTGCTTTTGTTTTGTCTGGTTTGTTTGCTTTACTAAATAACCTTCTGAATAACTGTCTGCCCTACACCCGTAATAATGCATGCCACGCAGATGATAAGAGTTTTTCCTCTTATACCTGTGTCTCCCCAGGAATGACTAG